TCAAGCTATGTTCGCTGGAAAGCTGCTTACGGGTGACATTGACTGTCCAACACTGCTGGCTCAGCTAAATATGTATACCCCTGAGAGGCCTCTTCGTCAACGCAACTTTCTGTTTTTGGAACCACGGCGCCGAAATTATACACAACATGAGCCAATTCGAGCAATCAGCCGGCAATTCAACAACTTCTTTTATATGTTCGACTTCAATGTATCAGCTGACGCGTTTCGTCATCGGTTACTTGGCCTTTTCCGTACCGTTGACCGTAACTATTTAGTTTAAGTTTTATTCATATAGACAATAATTGTCAGTTGAATTTTTCAATATATAAATAAACAAATTTTGATGTTTTGCAATGTTCGATGCGTTCTAGGACCTTTCCAAAGGCGCGTCCTCTCATCAATCAATATAGGTTTTACATGAATCCTCATTCAATTGTGATGTTCCGTATCATTTGAACAATTCTGGGTACTCTTCAAATTTGCATCTTCTCAGCAATCAAAATAGGTCTTCTTAGTGAGAAAAACAAGCGATGATACTGATTTGACGATGCGTAGAGTGATGTACGTTGTTCGAGTATCGGGGACACTCTCGAGTCCCTTTGAATCTCGAAGGGGTTTTCGGCAAGGTGATGGACTTTCGTGTCTGCTATTCAACATCGCGTTAGAAGGTGTGATCAGAAGAGCAGGGATAGACACAAGTGGCACGATCTTCAGGTCGTTCATCAAGCTTCGCCGATGACATCGACATCATGGCACGGAACTTTGAGACGATGGCGGAAACGTACATCAGACTTAAGGCTGAAGCTTGCCATCAACGCATCAAAGACAAAATACATGAAAGGAGGTTCTAGGGAAGACAATGTTAGCCTTCCACCCCGAGTTCAGATTGACGGTGACGAAATCGAGGTGATCGATGAGTTCGTGTATTTGGGCTCACTGGTGACCGCCGAAAATGATACCAGCAGAGAAATCCTAAGACGCAGTATGGCAGGGAATCGTGGCTACTTTAAACTCCAGAGGACGCTCCTGTTGAATAAAATTCGCCGCCGCACGAAGTTGACTGTCTACAAGACGCTGATTAGACCGGTGGTCCTCTACGGCCACGAGACCTGGACTATGCTCGTGAAGGACACTGCAGGGTGGCCAGCAAACCGGGAATATCGGGAAATGTCCGGGAATTTGAAAAGTAACCGGGAAAACCCAGGAATTCGGCAAGAGAACCGGGAAAAATAAATTACCACACCATAGGAACAAATGTTTACACAAGAATTTCAGAATAAACCATTAAACCAGAGTGATCTTTTGCCAAATGAATGTCTTGCTCTGTTTGGCGCATAATTTTCTTCAGTTTACCGGTTTATTGTTTTTAGAATTTAATCACTCAGCAGTATTGCAAATTGATTTTTATCGTTTTAATTTCAGATGTAAAGTGCATGGTCTTTAAAAGAATATATTGAAGATGCTTGACTTTGGAAACAAATATTTGTAAAAACCGAAACTGAAATATTTTTTTCCGGGGTTTTAATCTTTCGTTGTTCAAAATTATCATGATATGAATTCCAGAATTGACTTGAAATTCTGCTCTGAATTATCATGGAATTATTCTTAAATAAACCAAAAAAACTCCTCGTAATAATTACCGCAACCCTTTCTAAGAATTTAATTGAAATCCTATCCATTGATTCCATTCTGATTCCTTTGAAAACCTTTTCAAAAAATTCTTGTAACTCTGTTCAAAGCAGCAGAAATCTTCGAAATTTTATTTAGAAACCCCTTCGAGTATTTTAAATAATTTCTTTCTAACTATCAGCAATTTTTTGCAATCCAATTTGTTGGAATTCTGTGATGAATCTTTCGCACTAGGGTTGAAATTATTGCCAGAACACTCTTACACACTTAATTTTTTCTACCGAGCTCGGCTGTGCAAATCTCGGCATAAAAAGTTGTACTGAGATCTCAGCAAACATTTTATTTGTTTGCTGAGATTCAGCTAAGCATTATCCGAAACTCAGCAATCAAATGTCACTTTTGCTGAGATCTCAGTGAAACTTATTTTCGCCGAGATTTGCACAGCCGAGCCCAAAAAAAAACTTAGTGTGTAGAACTCTGTTAGTTGTTGAATTCTGATCATAATTCTCTTGGAATTCTTCTTAAAATTCATCTGTCATTTTCCTCATGATCCCCATACAAATCTCCTCAGAATAACGTACATACTTAATCTAGCTCGGTAAAATCTCCAACAGCCGATTACCTCGGCATTTACACTTTTGCTGATATCTCTGCAAAATATCTGTTTGTTGGCTGATATCTCAGCAAAATGTTATTTGTTAGCTGAGTTTCGGCAATTGTTTTACTGAATCTCGGCGAAAATTTTTAAGTGTGTAGGAATTTTCGTTAAAGTTTTCTTTTTCACAACTCCTTTTGAAATCCTCTAAAACTACCTAAGAATTTTTATTTAGAATTTGCATTCTTCTCCACAGAAATCCCTTCAAATACATCTAGGTGCGTCACCAAAGTTTTCGAGCCGCTCCGTCTGTCACTTCGTTTGTGCTCCAGGGTTTGTCCGCTAGATTCTATATATTGTTCTGTAATTTATTATAACCCTTAAAATGTTTCCAAGTCTCAGAGCGTGGCAAGTATGACTCCACACACCAAAATTTAGATTCAAGTTCCAGCAAACTGAATTGCTGAATTGGTTCCAGCCAAACCACATTTCACCGACCATCCAGCATTCTGAAATGTTTTGCTGGGTACTCAGTAAATTGTATTCGATCTGTCAAATGAAATGCCAGTTCTAGAAAATTCCAATTCACTCGTCGTATTCGCAACTAATTTGCTTAATTCTAGCAAATTTTGCTCTTGGTAATGATGTTTAGTGTACCACCAACAAGTAAGTGCAACATTTTTCAAGTCGTTTTCTCTCTATGTTTGCAGCTCGAATCAAAACCACAAGATGACAGGATCAGAGAAACGTTTGTCTACTTTACTATAGAAATTAATCAAAAATGCGTGTACCATGTACCAGTATGATACCATATATGATTAGCATTGAATAAATAATGATAGAATGATTTTTTGACATCCAATGAATTTCAAACTAAAATTTTCCATTCCCTCCCACTGTACATTAATTGCTGCTTCTATTTGCAGAAGCATCAGCAACATTTTTCTGGGTTTTCAGCGATGTGCTGTCACTTAATTGACAGATCATTTTACTGGTCATCCAGCAACAATATTTTGCTGGAAGGATTATTGTACTTGTCAGAAACAAGAAGAGATTGGAAGGTATGTATTTGACACATAACACCTGTCATTATTGCTTTCACTGCGTCACAATTAGCGATTTTACGATTCGTGAGCGGTCACTCTGAGTGAACGCTCACGAGTCATAAAATCGCTGATTTTGACGCACTCAAAGCGAAATTGACAGGTTTTATGTGTCAAATACATACCTTCCAATCTCTTCTTGTTTCTGACAAGTACAAACTTTCATAATAGCATCCAATGATTCCATAATTCCGAAAAACATTTTTTATAGCGAAGTGAGTGGAAGTAACCCTGGAGCAGAGTAATAGCTGTAAAACTGCACACGTCTAAAAATAAACCTAGTTGACTGTGAAAATGCTTCCGGAGTAGCTCTAACACAGTTTATTAGCTGAGTACAGATTGTTTAGTTGTTGAAAAAGCACTTTTGATGTTTATGTTATTCAGCAAGAGTGGTTTGTTGTGTAGAAGCCATCAAATGAGTAATATATTCACTTTATTAGCTTTGTTTTGCAGTAACAATTTGAATGTTGATTAGTATGTGTATAAAAGAGACATTAGCGTTTTTTTGACTGTTGTTATTCAGTGCGACTGACAAATTGAATAATGATTGTGAAAAGGTTGAGTAAACGCTCTCCAAAATTATTTTGCTAGCTTCTGCTTGTAGCTGCATCTGCAGCTTCTTTTCAGCTACTTTACAGCACAACGCAAGAAAAGTTGGCTTATAAAGCTGAAAATGTTAGTTGGGTTTTCAATCGCAGTAATAGCATAGAGGTAACTCTAAGACCAGAAGGTCCCGAAGAAACGAGCTCAGCTCTGGTACTATCTTCGGTCCCAAGCTAATCGATTCACCCCTCGAAACATAGGAAAATCCACTAACCCCTCATTTTATCTGTCAAACTTTCATAGCGAATCAAAACAAACAAAGTGTAGTACTAGAATTTCGACTAGAATGGGGAACGTTAATCGTTTGCTTGGGACCAATAGGCTAGTCAAGTAGTGAGCCAATTTAAAATCGTTATCGTTGGTAATAGGGTTAACTTCCCCATTTCCGGCCTATTAAGCACAACCCGCACATAGTCTTTCTTAATCTAGCGCAGTTTAGCACCAAACGGAATGTTATTATTACTGATGGCTTTTTATTTGCCTTTCCGTATGTACCGTAAGATTTGAAACCAATCGTTGAGATATTGTCAAAAGTCTAGCCCTGCTTCTTGACGCCAAACTCGACATACGGATTCTAAACTCGGCCTTACGCATTGAAACGCCAATGAATTCACTTCGGCCTATCGGATGAAGGTAAAAATTGATTCGGTCGAAGCGCTTCTGTTGTTTTTGGGAATAATGGGTGCAAACCTTCATATCACGCGTTCTCATTGACTTCGTTCGGTTACTTTTGAACTAGTACGATACCAAACGTATAATTGGCATGTTAATTTTAAAATCATGGATTTATTTGAAGTTTTCTGCTCGATAGGCTTAGGCCGAAGTAGTTCTCTACCCTATGTGGATAAGTTTACGATGATTAGTCCTGGTTTCTAGTTCCCATTCAATGGCAGGATTGATTTCCCAACTACATCATTTCTATTCCAACGGCACAAAATGGAACGGAATAAATTATTACCTGTCAAATTATGTTGTCAAGTAAAATTCACTCCACATAATGAAACCATTCGCTTATAAAATGGCTCAATCCAACTCATGTAAATCAATCGATGAACAAGTTATCTCTGACAATGACTGAAACAGTGGAATCAGCCGTCGTGGGTCAACTTTTGCTAAGTTACTTCTCTGCAATTAACCTACATTACGTAACAGTTTTTAATTGCGGAGATCCTGAAGGTATTTGAAAAACTATTTCTCTATATTTCATAAGTAATTATTTCGTTTTATGTGTTTAAGAAAACCACGACCTTGTGAAGAGTTTTTCAAATCATGGTGTGTTTGCTGATTTGATCCGTTTGAGCGATGATACATTCGATGCTACACGACATGGAGATAAGATAACTAACGGATATCGGACGAAGGTTGGTATAGTTTTAAACTATGAGTGTCCTGGAAGTGACGATTTCGTTTCGAAGGTAAGCTTAATTTATTATATGCAGCGTTTAGCTTCTACGATTGAAAACCTTCTCTTTTTAGTGCGTTCAACTGAAATGCTTTTCAACTTCGAAGTTTTGGCTGATAATTGACCGACAGGAAAACCAGACCATATTCGGTTTTCTTTCAACCTTAGATTTGTTTGTGGATGCAGAAATCAAAGTACTCACGCACGATGGCTTGTACGATGTATACAATAATGGTCGGTCACATGGTGGTCGGATAAATGTAACGCTCGATCGGAATATTAACCAGGAGTTGAGCACCCTAGGACCCAGCCGACTCGATGAGAAGTCAAAATATGAAAACCGTCGTACGCTTTCGGATTTAACTCTGAGAGTGGGAACGGTATCCCAAAGATTTCCAAGATTGAATGATTCCATTGAACAGATTGTCAAGCATTTGGAATCGGATACAGACCGTCACATGGACCATGCTCTCCGATTTGGGCATCGGTTGACTCAAGCTTTGCATTCCACCTTGAGTTACAAGTTAGCAATGATTCAGATTTGTTACAAGAATACACATTCATTCTGAGGCAATATTTTACAGCATACATTACATTCACTACGATTGTTGGACATTCAATGATTCCACTGGAGGTATTCTGGGTGCACTGGTCAATCAAGAAATAGACTATTCGGCTACCGGCTTGATGACGAAAATCAAAAGGATGGAGCATTTGGCCAGTGTCCTGAACTACATGACCTTTGAGTAAGATTTTCGGGGGTTTAGGCAATTCTATCGAAGTCACTAAGTAAACTTGATTTTAGATTGATGTTCATCTTCAAAACTCCGGAGGCCACTCAACTTACGGACAATGCCTTTATAAGGCCATTTCAAACCAACGTTTGGCTTATGATCCTGCTCACCCTTATCCTCGGGAGCATTACTATGAAGCTCAGCTTCACTGTGGAATATAAACTTCAAGATGCGTTCAAAGCAAAGGAGAATCCTTCCTTCTCGGGTTTAATCGTAGAATTTCTCGGGAACTACTGTCAGCAAGGATCCCAGTACATGCCTGAAAGCCTATCCGGTCGATCGATGCAACTTTTCATTCTGCTATGTACACTTATGGTGTACAACTATTACACCTCGGAAATCGTATCCGATTTGATCGGAAGCCACAAGGAGTCAAACATCAAAACATTAGTTCAACTTGCTGATAGCCACCTGGACCTCGGAATCGAGAACGTGACCTACGAGAAAGCGTTCTTCTATGTGTGACCGATACTCTTCATGATAGCGAATATTTTCTTATCTGAATTCCCATTTCAGGAATCTCACCTCCCCGACGTAGACTATCTGACGAGAAAGAAAGTCACCGAAAAAACCTTCGTCAACTCTTCGGTCGGATTGCAACGGGTCCGGCGAGGAAACTTTGCCTACAATTGCGAGCGGAACGTTGCCTACAATTTGATATGGAATACCTTTGATTCCACGGAAGTTTGTGATCTGAACGAGTTGGAGAGCATGCCAACCCAGTTCGTTGATCACGTGGTGCGTAAGGATTCGCCTTTCCGAGAACTGTTCAAGGTCAAATACACTCGGATACTGGAGGTAGGCATAAAGAAGAAATTTTCCGACTACTGGGTGGCCAAGAAGCCCAAGTGTTCCTCGGGAAGTATCATTTCCAGTGTGACCATTACCGGAGCGCTGCCCATATTTGTGCTGCTTGGATTTGGGTTGATGTTGTCGGCGGTGGTTTTCGGAACGGAAGTTGTGACACAATTTGCTGTTAAGAATTCGTGGGTGGACCGAAGCTTGGACCAGATTGTGGCGGATAAAATTGTCAAAAAGAAATTTTTATAAATTGTTATGTAGGTTTCTGAAGAATTGTTGAAGGATAACATCTGGTTACTCTGAATAGATTTGAAGTTCTATAGATAAGACGTAGAATAATAGGGATGTTTGTTAATCTTAATGCACAATTACATATATGATCACAATTACATATAGCGGGGCCAGTGGTGTAGTGTTAAGCGTGATTACCTCTCACCCCAGCAGGCCTGGGTTCAATCCCAGTCGGCGCTGCCGGGATGTTCTGAGTAGAGATGCCAGATTTTTGCTTCAGAAGTCTGTGAATTTCAGAAATGTCTGTAGTTGGGCTGCATAAAATTGGCATACATTTTGTGTGTGACGTGGAGGTTGGAGTGGTTATGAGATAGATGCCAAATTTTAAATATGTCAGTTAAAGTCATGTTCGAGTAATAAATACCTGCTTTTAACGAATTGAACCTAAGGAGTTGGGAATGCATCTATTTAGACTGAATAAAATTTTACGAAATTTTACAGGAATTTGTTTTCTGATAAGAGCAACACCTCGAACATCCCGGAAAAAAGTGTCGTTTCCATTGGGAATGCATATTACATGTGTCTATTAATAAATCCAATGATATCTATCTGATTTTAACACTTATCATTCATGAGTTCTATATGATAAAGATTTATGTGATTTTGTGGTGCAATTCCCAATTATGATATCACATGAAAGTAATGTGAAATTCTAATGACTTGTTCTAAATACTTCATTCTTTGAGTGTAAACTTCTAGAATGAGTAGATTTTTCGTCGATTGTTGTCATACTCGAAAAGATTTATGAGGCTCGGAAAATTTTACTCATTCTACTAGTAAACTACGTTTTAAATATGGAGAAATCGATAATCAAAAAAGGAATTTTTAAGCTTATTAATACGATTCTAAACACTTCGTGCTCAACAAGTGTTGATGAATCAGGATCAGCGTCAGTGCTGAGATTTGGCATGTCATTGACATAATTTTGCGCGATATTGACAAAATTGTTTATCATACAGACTGAGACAGACTTGATTCTCACAAAAACCTTCGGCAAAATATCATTCATTTTTCGTCAATGATAAAGATTCAGCTGGTAACAAAAAGTGTAATTTCGTGCATTCTGTGTCACATTATTGTTATCCAAGTAGTTCAGAACGTAGATGCTTGTTTACTTTAACGGCTCCATGTAATTGTGTTGCTCAAGTAATCTAATTTGGTTACAAATTTAGTTAACAAAAAAATCTACACATGTTCGTCACTGACAGCATTGTCATTGACAAATGACATGGTTTGCCTAGACTGTGACCATTAGCTCAAATGAGTGACCAAAGCAAAATTGTCAATATCACCGAGTATTCTCGAGACACTGATCAGGGTTGTTGAAACGATTCAGATAGGAAGGCATATCGAAATAATGATCATCGAGCAATGGATAGTACTGTACAACGAAGCCAAGTATAATGAATTGGCGCTAAACACTAACACTGTTGTAACGATTTTACAAATACAGTTTTAAAATAAGATATATCAAGCAACATATTCATCACATTTTGCAAAATAATTGCACACATGAGGAAGAAAAACTTGGCTTAATTTAACACAATTTGCTGATACCAACCTTTTTGCCTTTCTCATACACCAAGACTCGATATCACTTGAAAAACACAAATTCATTCCAAGACCCGGAGAAACGAATGACATATACCAATAGACTCATATCAACGGGATCGGAAAATGTTTCTGTATGTGTTTATATATGTATGTATGTATGTATGTATATATGTATGTATGTAAGTTCATATGAGTGTAACTCACTCAATTTTCCCAGAGATGGCTTGACCAATTTCAGTGAAACAAGTTCCAGAATATGTGTTTCAGATCCCCATGGATCGCTATTGATTTTTTTCTCGATCGGAATTATGGTTCCGAAGATATGAACAAAAATGTGAATACCAGATTCCATCATGCGACCCTTAAATCACATTAGAATTTTACTATAATGGACATATTTAGACCAAATGATCACAATGGCCACTTTCTGATGTACCGGGTACCTCCCGGGAAGTGAACAGATTCTGACATGTCGCTGAAAGTCTCTATAATAAAGAAGTCAATCAATCAGATTCTGACATGCGCCGATATGCATCGTGCGATACTTAAAATCACATGGAACTCAACATAATGATTAGTGCAAGTTTGTTTATTGATTTTCCTTAACTTATAGCTTACCTGATCCTTAGAAAAAGTTCGTTATGGGGTTTCATCTCGGGTTCCATTTGAATTTTCTCTCTTTTTTCCACATGTTTCCGACTCTTATTCAGGTACAAAACGGCGAACATGGCTGCTTCTTTCAGCACTAAAACTGCAGGAAAATAATGAACAACTTTACACGGTGATTCACCCACTAATGTGCGTTCGTTAAACGCCACTAATCTCTATAACAGTGACAGCTCGTTCGTGCGGTATGAATTTGAAAACGCGCGAATTTCTAATGCGTGTTGCAAAATGCATCGAACGTGTAATTTGATTAAATATGTAAAACAGTGTAACCAAATCGATTTAAAATTTTTACTCGATTACAAAAGTCTGTGAATATCATTTTCATTTCATTTTCATTTTCAAGCACAGAAGGTGGTCATAGGGCCAAGTCACCAGCGAAAAATCGCTGTCCATACTGCACCAGGGTAGAGGTATAGATTTGGCATCACAGAATAATAACCACAGGGGTCAAATGAATCCTGTTTACGATACCGGATAGTAAGGAAAGCTGTTGAACATAGGGGATAGTCAAAGTAACAGCAATAATAGTGAAAGTTAGGAAAATAAGCAGGTAGAGATGGTTGATTTGCAATGGCTATCGACTCTGTTATATGGCCTACCATATCAGATTCAAATTTAATGTCGTTTAATATTGCGCTTATTACTTTTATCTTTATTCTAAGCAATCTCCTTTCATACTTGTTTGTTTTAAAGTGAACTGGATGAAATGATTGTTTTATCAAAATTATATTAAATATATAACAAATTGATATTTTAAAGCAATAATCAAAATTAACAGACAATACATGAAAAGGCTAGTTGCCAGTTGCTTTAAAGGCTAGTTGCCTCCCTAAGCGGACCCTCCGCATCCTAACTCTTCTGTTAATCCACTTAATGCTACTAGGCTGTCTAAATTTTCTTATTTAAGTTCGTTTGATGATTATGATACCTCTAGTCTAATTTAATAAATAAATGAAATCTCTAATCTACCTACCATGCTTTATTAAGTACCTGTACTTGTGAATGTAATCTAAAATTTAACGTGTTTCAAGTTGTTTTTGACTTTGACCTATATTTAATGTATATTAGGTCGTCCCAGGTGACACCTTCAAGTGACTAAAATGCTTCACTTTGAAGTTAGTTTCCTAGCTGATTTTTAAATTACATAGGGTATATGCTTCAACTACGCTCACACGTTTCCACTATGTCGCACCACAAAAATACGTATGGATATGTTCCCTGAGTAATACCTCAATGAAAACAACAACGAAAGCTTGTCACGCAAGTAGAAGGAGCACTGTTGGGCACTTTCTGAAATATTTCAATAGTATAATTCCCTTGCAAACCCAAATAAATCTATCTGCGTAAAAATAAATAAAATAAGAGTGATTTGCGGCAAAACCCGCCAGTATCGCACCCAACGTCAGTGCCTATACGTAAGCGTACTACGACGCGGCTTTCAAATAAAGGAGTAACAAGTGTGATACTATCACTTCAGGCTAGAACTTTGGTTCTCTTATGCAATGGTTCATCAGAGAGGGGAAGCTCAGTAATCCTCATCGCATGCTCATGACGCTATTCTGTCACGGCATGAGCCAACGATGCCGGACCCAAACCAACCGTCTCCAACTCTCCACTATGAAGCATAAGATTAGGCCCGCCCACCAACGTCCAGGTTAAAAAACTAGCCAAGGGGAGGGGATTACAAAAGTCTGTGAATATCTGTGAAAAAACCAAAAAGTCTGTAAATGTCTGCAGTGAAAAAAAATGTATGTGAAAAAAAAAATAAAAGTCTGTAAATTCACAGACATGTCTGTAAATCTGGCATCTCTGGTTCTGAGGCATAACATCTCTGATCACGCCTTCCTTCGTAAGGGAAGTAAAACCGTTGGTACCCGGTTCATGAGTAGATGGGTCGATAGGTAGGGTCCAGGTGTGGGAGCTGCCTTCCTGGCACGTCGGTAGCATTGGTGCTCAGCACGGAAAACAAGATCGACGGAAAACAAATAAAGGAAAAACAAAATATATAGCGGAAGTGACTCTAATGTTGGCCTATGGATCTAAGATTGGACCCATCGCTAAAAATCTGCAATTTATCAATTTTATCTAGATGAACGCGTTATTGGGACGGTACTTATAGATATTTTTGGTCGATATTGACAATTTAGTCGATTGTTGAATTTATGTATGGGCCCAAATTAGGGACATTTAGGTCGACATTACATCCGTTTCCCCTATATGAGTGTTTTGACAAGTAAGTTCTAGTGCTGCTAAACATTATCCACTTATGGCGGCCATATTAAAGAATCAGCTTTCGTCTATATGACTAAATGAAAATGATCTTCTAAAATTATAAAATAAATATGAAATAAATTTGTAGAACCGGTAACCCTAATAAACAAATACCATAAACGAACAATTACTCAAATAGTCGAACTTCTCCACAAATGGTTTGGATGATACCCCAAACACGTCGTTAAGCAAAATAACCATTACAAATTTATTAGGGAAGTCCTATAGGGTTTTAATGTATTACGTATAGACTTAAACGCTGTCCAGACTGGAGAGTTATAACATGTTATAACGGTTGTAAAAAATTGCAACACAGAAACCACCCTCAAGATAGCGCTATAACATGTTATAACTCTGTAGTCTGAACGTACTATTAATTATAGTACGTTCAGATTACAAAGTTATAACATGTTATTGCGCTATCTTGATGGTGGTTTCTGTGTTGCAATTATTTGACAACCGTT